CATCATCTGTACACCTTTGTTTGATGTATGAGAAATGCAGCCCAAAGAGACTAAATGATTGATCCATGGTTACATAGCACATGGGATGCAGAACCGGACTAGATTGGAGCTACACTTTTTCCAACCCATTGCTTTTATTGCTGGTGTTCACATAATATTGCTCTAAACTAGATTTTTTTGTTGCAATTTAAAATACAATAGGTTAACAAAACTGCCATCTATATACCACTTATTCACAAAGGGCAAATTTATGAAATAGAAAATGCTGCTGATTTGTCTGCAAAAATTTAAGCAGGTATTCAATTGCTGTATATAATCATGTAGCAGTGATGAAGAAATTAGATAATTAGCCTGGTAAGAGATGAAGGGAACCATGAGCATTATGAAGTATACTGACTGAGACTGGGACTTCCTGGATGACAATCTGTGTTTTTACACCTCTGTATCCCTTTTTTGCACCTAGCCTAGTTTTTGCATCTGGTAGGTTTTCACAGTCAGGCAAGTTAAAGCTTCTTATCTTACAGAAGTGGAAATTAGGTGTAGAGATACTCAGTGACTTGTCTCTAGTCATTCAACTTGTTTTGCTAGAGTTATTCAATTAAATAATTTTGCTAAGATTATTGAATTCTTTCTCCCCCCCCACATGGGCGCACGCACACACACACACACACACACGCACACACACACACGCTCACGCACACACACACACACACAGAAACTGTTCCCGCCTTCTCACTCCCAAAACTGTCTCGGACTCCTATAAAATATTTTAATTAATTTGTTTAGATGCAAAATAAGTTCAGATGAGTAATCTCTCATTTTACTTCTTAGCTAAGGAAACACTCCTACAGAACTCCTTTAGGTGGTGAAATGGCTCTTTGGCAAAAAGATTAAATGTGAGAATATGGTATGCTAGAAACAGATTCACCCTCTGCTTTCTTAAGGAAAGTGTATGGGTCACAGTGTAATTTGGCCCAACATTAAAGTTAGAAACCTCACACTACATTTCCAAACAAATTCCAGGTGTATTCATAGTTAAGATTCATTTTAAAAATCAAACTATTTAATCAGTCAGTGAAGACACAAATATCAATCACATATGCAATGCTTAATCAAATTTATAAGGAAAGCATTAAGACCTCCACTTCTACCATACTGGCCCTCCCAAATATCATACTCACATCTCGGGATGCACAGGAGGTAAGGAGGAAAATACAAGTTAATAGATACATTGTGAAGTATTTGTTCTCTTCAGTTATAAAAAGCTTTTTTAAAAAAATGAGACAATTCTCTGCCTATCCAGTTGATAATGATTTTTTACATAATGAGATTACCCAGCATTGTCAGAGGGGTGGAAAGAATGGGGGCTGTCATTCACGTCAACCCCTCTGGAAAGTAATCTGCAGTGTACATCAAGATACCTAAGAATGTTTTGACACTTTCACCCTATAATTCTATTTTTAAAATCTACCTTAAGGAAATGCTAAATTCAAAAAAGTCTTAATATATATTATTGGTCATTGCAGCACTATTTATAAAGGGAAATATGTAAATAGTAACAGAGATATGATGAAATAAATTGTGGTAAATCTAGAAATTGGAGTTAGACATTTAACAATGTTTATAAGTTGTTTGTAATAAACTGGGAAAATCATGGTTAGGTTGGAAAAATAGGATAAAAATATTTATATATTGTGTGAGTATAACTACAAAAAATATGAATGGAAAAATGCATAGAAAAAATACAAGCAAAATGAAATCAACAGTAGTTTGGGAATGTAAGATTATGGTTTATATTTCCCCCCTTATATTTTCTGATTTTCCAAATTTTCTAGAATGGTCATTGTTATGGGCTGAATGGTGTCCCCCTAAAACGTGTATGTTGAAATCCTAATGCCCAGTACCTCAGAAGGTAATTGTATTTGAAGATAGGGTCTTTTAGGAGGTAATTAAGTTAAAATGAGGTCATTAGGGTGGGACTTAACCCAAAATGACTGATGTCTTTTTAAAAAGAGATTAAGGCACAGATACACATAAAGGGAACACAAAACGAAGACACAGGGAAAAGATGGCCATCTATGAGCCAAGGAGAGGCCTCAGAAGAAACCAATCCTGCTGACATCTTGATCTCAGAATTCTAGCATCCAGGTCTATGAGAAAATAAATTTTTATTGTTTAAGCCACCCAGTCTGTGTTATTTGTTATGGCAGCTAGCACACTACCTATTGCACTTTTTTAATGAAAAAGAAAACATTTATTATAAGGAGAAAAAAGCAACCCCCAGTGTAAGGGAAACCTCTCCTTTCATGAGCTACGCTGAAACACTAGAGCCATCTGGGAAATATATAACCCTTGTGCAAACCATACTATTGCATGACTAGCCGTATATTAAAATTATATAGCTCTTATGCTATATATTATATGTCTCATTAGTTATAATTGAGAAGTGTTATCTTGAGGCTACTGAGATCTCCATCATTGGAAATGTTCTAAGAGTGGCTAGATACCCACATTATAGACAGCATGGCTAGACCTCACGCATCTGTAGGTTGGATGAAGTTGCAAATTTTTAAGATTCTTTCCAACCATTATATTTATTAATTTCCATGGGTAGAGTTGCTAGCTTCTATAGCGCAAAATTAATTCCTCAAGTAAACTAGTTTTGCTGGATTTCTGATCCAAAATAGGATGCTTTTATTCCAGTTCTCTTCAATTCTAGGAATAATTATTTCAGATTCTAACATCATAGGCTTTCCTCATTTGTCAAATTACCCAGCTTCAAATCCCATCTTTATTTTTCAAATATCTTAAGATAGGCTAAATACACAGTGCAGAATTGTTTCGATAAAAACAAAACAAACAAACAGAGCACCTAACACTCCCAATAACTATGTACCCATTTTATCTATCTATCTATCTATCTATCTATCTATCTATCTATCTATCTATCTATCTATCTATCTATCTATCTATC